CGCTAGATCGATATCCATCCTCTCCCCGGCACTGCCGCTGGCGTACGCTGGAAGCGCTACGCTACGCTGCCGCAAAGTATAAACGCAGCCTTAAACAATTTGGTCATAGAATGCGGTCGTAACGTGGTTGAGCTCGGTCACGCGACAGCGTCTCTGCATCTCTTTCCCTCGAGACGCTTCAGCCAGACAGAGCACATGATCACAGTCGGAGTGAGATAGTTGCGCAAGCAGGCAGGCTTCACGCATCTCCGATGGTCTGCGCTCTGGAGTCCCGAGCTTTGGTTAGAGGAAGGGACGTGAACGCACAGCCGCGCAGCTCAGCACAACCACGTTACCAAAGAATGGCATTCATATATTCTGTGAGCTCAAAACATGCCGGGGAAGAGAGCAGCTTCTGGACTATCGAGTTTCAAACGAAGTTGTGAAAGTGTATAGAACGTGAACTGTCATAAGGTAATCGATTTGGTGCCAATGTGCTGCGTCGAGAAAACTAAGGCTACCAGCTGGCTCAGTCTGGTGTGGAATGGGTTTTTCGTGGGATATTTCCATTCGAAATGACAGCCATCCGTCTTCTGCTGTGCAACGAAACGATCATAAAACTCTCGTCGTCTTGAAAAGGCAACGTCCCATAGAAAGGCGCCGTCTTCGGATTAAGTACCCAGTGCCCTCCAATCGCCAGGATGACGACAATGCAACTGTTTCTGTACATTTGGTCAAGCTCTACTTAACAGGTACAATTTCTTGCTGTTGCTATTGTTATAGTCAACAATCCTGCAGGAGTACAAAGAAATCGTACTTATTTGGAAAAAATTCTAGAATTACCTTATTGGTTGACCATCACATCCCCAATAGTTTCCCAGTTCCAGTGCGTCAAAATAAAACGATGGCACCCTCTCCTTGCGATTCTTGATTTTCTGCCTGAAAACAGACCAATCTCGATAAGGTTGAGGACATTCCAGACTTGAAGGGAATTTACTGTCTGGCGTTTCCAGTCCTCGTTAATTCATGCGAAGTTCTTTTTGTCAGATATTAACAACCGTCACGTGCAACTAGTAAAAAGCCCTATTAATGTGAGGCTACGTTCATATTTCATAGCAGCGTCCACTAGCGTTTCGAGCGTCGGGCAGCGTCCCGAGGGCCTGGGAGGTTGGGTACCGATCTATGCACGCGAGAGAGGAGAGTATGGCGCGATGGGAGGGTACCAGCTGTCTGCTACCCTCCTATCGCGCCATACTCTCCTTTCCCGGATGCTGGTGCAGCTGGCAGACTCTAAATCGATACCCATACTTTCCAGGCCCTCGAGAAGCTGGTGGACGCTGGCAGACGCTAGATCGATATCTATGCTTTTCCAGTTGCTGACACCCAAAACGCTAGTGGACACAGCCGCAAAGTATGAACGCAGAAGGCAGTGGTGATTGTCGTTGTGGGACCTCAAAAAGATTTGCATGCCCTGAAAATGAACCACGAAATGCCACACAACGGTAGAAGATCGTCGCAAAATGGATGGCAGGCGTCACACGTTAGTGGCTACTAATATGAATACCGGAATCACTCCCCAATGACGTTGGCGACAATCATCCGCCCCCAAAAATCGTACCCACTGCCTTTAAGGATGGAGCAGTTTACTGCACCTCACTACTCATGAAGAACCTTTTTTTGTTGCCGTTGCTACCTTTTAGAGCTAATTTCTGCTTTTCTGTTTTTCCAAGAGGTTTAGACAGCGACAAAGCTTCGAGTGACAACTCACATCGCTTTCTCGCTAAATGAAATCGGAGCCAATCCGTGGAAGCTTGAGCACCTTTTAGTAGCTGCGTAGACACAATCCAACACCCCATTCGTCGTCCATTCTGAATTCTGCTCCACCTATGGAAGCTACCTGAAACTTATTCCTTACACCAATTGCTAGACTCTATATAACAGAATTTTCAGAATTTTAGAAGTTTGGCGGTAGATTGCAAAAACAAGATGGGCTGCTATATAACCTTCCTCCATCCCCAAACCAACATTCCCGCAAACATTTTCCGCAATAAGTGAATGAGCGAAGACTCAGAGCCATCGCATCATCTTCATTGATGACTTGGTTACTCTCTAGTAAAATGAACACATTGAACAGAAGGGGGCCAGTGAGGAACGGAGAGTCTCCGCCCATCTGGTCATTGTGGAATAGGTCTTTGAAATAATGCTAACCACAACTCACCGTATCTACTAAGAAGCAAAGTACCATGGCGCGCACACGCTTCGCCTAACCCGTCAAGTGGTTGCCGAACACCCGTTGAACTCTCGCCATGACAGACGAATAGTACCGCTGGTTTATACTTAGCCAGAGCCTAGAAAAAGCAATGCATGCTACAAAGAAATTCTGATGCAAGAAGGGCTACAAAGTATCCGATCGAAAATAAGACCTCTATTTCCAGTAAGTGGGAGTAATCACCTTACCTCTTCAATGGCCTCCTTTTCAACAGCTTGACCATGCGGTGCGCTGACAGTATGAACCGTAGCTCCCATCCTGGAGCCGAGATCAGCTGCTCGTTTACCCCAGATACCGATTTCTACAACCAGGAATACGTCGCCTCTCTCCAGCAGATTCACGAGGGCACATTCCATTCCGGCATGACCTCAACCAGACAATTAATTCTTGTCAGTCCCCTTCAGGAGCCACTGAGATGAAAACTAACCAGTTCCACTAACAGCAAAGGTGTAGTTGTTTTTCGTTTTGAAGAGATACTGCATGCCTTCTCGGGCATCCGACATCACCTGAAATCAGAAACTGTTGAGAAAACTGTCATGATGACTTTTCAAGCAGCAGGCACCCACTTTTCAGAGAAGGCAGTTAATAGATTGAAAGCAGTACAGAACAGTGTCTCACCTTGATGAACTCCGGATGTAAATGCCCGAAGAAGCGACTTCGATTGCGATTCGGCGATAACGTCACGCATATTCGAAGGACCAGGTCCGAATAGTTGTCGTGGAGGAATTTCCATTGGTCGCAGCAGCGAGGCTGGTGGAGGGCATGATGACATCGCCACTACCTAAAATTTATAACCTTCCCACCTTGGTGAACCAAACGAAAAATGAGATACTACATGTCCAAGAAGTCTCTGCAGTACCTTTCCAGTATTTTTAATCTCGGAATTCTCAAATTTGATCGCAATTATGTATTTTTTTTCTTCAAAAATCCACAAATCAAGTTCATATTTTCATAGCCATACAGCGCATTCTCGGCTGCACACCAAAATATAAATAAATAAATAAATAAATAAACCAAAAATAAATAAATAGAAGAAATTAAATAAATAATATGAAACAAAAACAAGTTTGAAAACATCTGTTTTGCTTGAATCCTACCAAAACTCCCTTCTTCAGAAGAACCCCTGTCAGAAACGAGAGGAGATCTGCAGTGTAATAACGAATTGATTTTTATTTTATTACTTCACCATGAGCCTACATAGGAAGCTGACTCGGTTTTGAGCCGAATTGCGTACAGGACGTAACTTGGTATCAGGTGGCCTTTTCCAGTGCGAGACTGTGTCGCCTTCGTTTTTCCAGCTGGCTCTACACATGATACATCCCTGCGCGACGCAGTAGGCTTGACTGCGTACATATTTGACCAAGGCGTAGACGGGTCAATTGAAAAGATATTTTTGAAATAAGGACTGGCATATCGTAGCGCTAGGCAAAGGCACGTGATTACAGCTGTGTCTCACAAACAAAAATATTTCGTCAAAAGCATTGACGTTACCACTATGAACAGGAAGTGAACTCCAAAAAAGTGCGTAGCCACGTACATCCACATCTCAGGAATTTGGAGTTCACTTCCTGTTCATATCTCGGCGCTGAGGAGGGGAGTGCGTCACTGACTAGCGATACTGAGCGAAGCAGCAGTAGATAGTCGCCGGTGCGAACTTAAGCACCGCGGCGCTTGGGTTTAGGCAGGTTCAGGACTTCGCGACGGCAGCACTCCGGTCGCGCGTTCGCGACTGTGACCGACGCCAGTCAAAAATTAATGCAGCATCGATCCGCCGACCGTAGCAGAGCTGACCGAAGCGACTGCCGTCGCGAAGTCTCGAACGCTGCTTAATAGACAGCCCCGCGTCAAGTAGTCCATGGTCGTCCTCCTTGTACAGGTAGTTCAGCCCCCAAGCTAGATGCTGTCCCACTCTCGCAACTCCACAGTGAGCGAGAAGCGAGCTACAGCCGCTCAAAGTTCTAGTTCTAACGCCCGCTCAGTTGGAGACCGCCTCACTCTAGTGCTCTCGACGGAGAGCTGCCCAGCTTGTTCTTTGTTTGCCGACGGGCGCGGCAATACTCCGGGAGATTGCAAGTCATTTTGCAGGACCCTTGGTGCCCTTAGATTGACTCTGCCTCTCATTTATGGCACATTCATTCATCGAGAGCAATTACGAGTCAAATGCAAACATCTGTAACCGTAAAACGCCATAGAAATCCATGAGTGATTTGGCCAATTTCGTCGGTGCCACAAGCTCGACTAGCCAACATGCACTAAAAGCCGCTCGCTACCGTAACCCAAATTCGGACGCCGTGTCTTTAAGTTTTTTTTTGCCTTTCAGGAGTTTTTCTTCCGAGTTTTTATTGTTTTTCGTATTCTTTTCATTGCATTGGATGATATCCACTACTGAGAGATGTGATAAAGAGATTTTCGAGCCAGGGGTTGCCCACGGATCGCAGGGCGGTGTAACTGTAAGGGAGCAATTTCGTTTGTGGTGTTCTTGAGGGCTCTTGTTGCTTTTTTCCCTCATTGAAGGAATTACTTATCAGCTACTGTTTCATAATTGATCAGCAATTATTCTTGCCACTTTTATCGCGGGAGCTGTCTTTAAGCTTCTAGAAGAACATTTAAATCTTGAACTGTTGCTTCTGGTTGGTAAGTTTTAGCAAATTCAGAGTAAAAAGCATGGCCACTACCAAAAATGACACACGCGTTTGGCTTTCCTTTGAAAACCGTAGTGGCTTCTGGATTGGGATTCTGAAATGAATGGTGCCCCTTCGTCTTGAACACTACATTTTGGATTATTCGGTCAATACAGGGTGAGAGGTGCAACCACTTTTGTTTCCGTCTCCCTTATGCACATGACCCTTACTGAGCAGATCCACGGATGGCAGCTTTACAGAGTGAATTCGAAGGGAAACACGTTGCCGCTTCGCTCACAACTAAGTCTGTGACTGATTCCCCTTTGAAGCCAAAGCATGAGCTATGTTTACTGTATGTACCTTGTAGGTTAGTTGTTCCAACCTATATTTAGGAACAGCTAACTTGTGATATTCGGTCAGTGGAATTCCAAAGCAGATTTTTACCTTTAAATGCCAACTGCATCCCAGAGTGTACGAAACATTACACCTTAGGTTAGCATTATCGGTTGTGAATGAAATCATCGCTCACCTTACTGTAAAGGAAGCATGGGGTCCCAAGGAGAAATGCTAGAATCGGTAGAAGGGTCATTTCGGGCATTATTATTCAACCGCACTTGAAAGACGATCATTGAAAATGATTTGCACCGCATTATCAATTAGAACGATTGTGGTTATCATTCTGATTCTGCTATACTGAATTCCCGGACAGACAGACAGACAGACGTAGCAAACTATATATAGTGGATA